TTGGCCCTGTCATCCGCATGGAAACAATTAGATTAATTATTTCCATTGCTGCTCAAAATAATTGGCGGATTTATCAAATAGATGTCAAATCAGCATTCTTGAATGGCATCCTTGAAGAAGAAATTTATGTCGAACAACCCAAGGGGTTTGTTGTGAAATGTCATGAAGACAAAGTGCTGAGGTTGAAGAAAGCTTTATATGGGCTTAAACAAGCACCGAGAGCATGGAATTTCAGAATTGATACATATTTCAAGGCGAATGAATTCTCTCAATGTCCATACGAGCATGCACTCTATTTGAAGCAAGAAAAATGTGATATTCTGCTCGCCTTTTTATATGTTAATGATCTTGTTTTTACATGTAATAATTCGGCGATGATTGATGCTTTTAAGGCATTGATGGTGAAAGAATTTGAGATGATCAATAATGTTCTCATGAATTATTTCCTTGGTTTCGAAGTGAAGCAAAGTGCCGATGGGATTTTTATTTCCCAAAAATGATATGCAGAAAATATCCTTGAAAAATTCAACATGAAGAACTGTATGCCGGTCAATACACCATTGGAGTGCGGAACCAAGCTTTCGAAGTTTGATGATGGTGCCGATGTTGATTCGACATATTATAGAAGCTTGATTGGGAGTTTGAGATACTTGACATGCACGAGACCGGATATTATGTATAGTGTTGGAATTATGAGTCGATACATGGAGAAGCCGAAATCATCTCATCTTAAAGCTGGAAAGAGAATACTTCGGTACATCAAAGGTACTATTTCTCATGGCTTACACTATTATTGCTCTGAATCTTTCAAACTTAGAGCTTATTCGGATAGTGATTATGGTGGAGATATCGACGATTGAAAAAGCACCACGGGATTTGTATTTTTCTTGTGCGACACTGCTTTCACGTGGTCATCAAAGAACTAACCAAGTGTTACTCTGTCAACATGTGAAGCTGAATATGTAACTGTATCTTCATGTGTTTGTCATGCAATATGGTTGAGAAGACTACTCAAAGATATTCTTATGGAGCAGAAGAAAGCAACGGAGATTTTTGTTGATAATGTTTCTGCTATTGCTTTGGCAAAAAATCCAGTTTTTCATTAACGAAGTAAACATATCGATGTTCGATATCACTTCATCCGAGAACATGTTAAAGAGAATGAAGTTGAAGTATTGCATGTGAAGACCGGAGATCAAGTAGCATATATTTTTACTAAACCTCTCAAGATTGATGCTTTTCGAAAGTTCAAGAGCCTGCTTGGAATGATTGATGGAAGAGAATTTGGTTTAATGGGGAGTGTTAGAAATTAAACCAAATTTGTTGGTACTTGTTTCTTTTTTGAGTCTATTCGTATTTCCATATTTTGATTTTTTGTGTTTTTAGGTGAAATAATTGTTTTTTCCGATATATTGTGAGATATTAAGAGATATGGTTAGATATTAAGAGATAAGATGAGATATTGTGAGATATTCTTTCTAGTTATATTTTAGGAAAGATAAGGGTCACGTAACTTTTCTTTAAATAGGGGAGTCTTGTAATTTTTTCATAAGAGTGAAATCTGAGTGAAATATATTGAGTCAGAAAATTCTATCTATCTTCTTCTTTTCTTTGCGCGAGTTGCGATTGTTTCACCTTCAAAAATTTCTTCCATCAAATCAAGTTATTGCCGCGTCTCTTACACTCAACAATATCGTGTGAACGTGCCACTTGATATTAGCCGTGCAGAGGAAAATGTCTCCGAATGCAGTTAATTCCCGGAGCGTACTTTTGTTTTGAGTAACAAGTTGATAAAGGAAAGCTATACATTATCATTACATTGCGCGAAAACAGCCTAACCCCACCTTATCCCAGCTTTATAAGCTAATCTCTCTCAGTGGACCTCAACAACATTTCATCAGTCAGTTAATGCTCTCATAATAGAACTTTGTAACCTAGCATTTGGCAAAGATTCCTCTAGAGAGAACACCCACCTACTCGATTCCTTGATGTCACTTCAATCTTGATGACCCCATGTTGCCTTGTTTTGGCTTACTAATTGGTCAAAAAATTGAATGGTGCGTCGCATTAAGTGATGATGGTTGAATAGGATATGTAATTCATGCATTCCCAATTAGGAAATACGGGGAAATTGTCTAATCAGTCACAAATTTATTGTACGTATGTCAATGCAGTCCTTAATGATCGCCTCTCCTATGTGTCATACCGTCAGTCAGCGATTTCCGGCTAAAATTCGTCGAAAAAACTACAGTGAAATTTTGCACAAAGGCTTAGGATTAAGTTGGTAAAATTGAAAAGTTTAAGACTGAATTGACATCCGTACAATATGTTTAGAATTGATTGAGTAATTTTCCCGATTTATTAGTTATGGATGGGTAAAAAAAGAGGCTAATTAGCCAAAACCAAAAGGGCATTGAAACGAAAAAAGGAAGCGCTAAAAGTTTGTAACAATCCATCATTCGCAAGTTTAAAATTTTATTTTAGGGAAAAGGGTCTTGTGGATCATGCTTGATTGGTCTCATAAGCCAACTTCCACACGTTAGATTATGTCTACTTGCTTAGTCCAGTCGAGACTAGCTTGTTGCGTAGCACGTACACAACACTAATTGAATTCGCGAACATTGAAGTGGGAAAAAAATATAGAAGTTTCGCGGTTATTATCGACCGAAAAAAGTATTTATTTGAGGTGAAAATGTCACGTGACATATGAATATGTACGTGTAGATGTATGTGCATACATAAATACATTATAAGCGCAGGTAAACCCTAATAAATCTGAAGGCAAAAGCTCCAAACAGAAACAAAATTTTAAAATAATTTAAAAGAAAACGTAGCAAATGGGCTCAAACTGTGTACTTTGGAAGGCCAAATTCTAAAAATTGAAATGGATCGAAACCCACATAAGAAGTGGATTCGAGGCAGAAGTGAGCTCAACATTATTCATTTGGCAATTAGACTTAGGGCATCAAAGTTATGAATAAGCTATCGGATCGCATTTCCGAGCTCGTAACTCCACCTGATCAAAACTAGTCGTGATCCATTTTACTAAGGGATTTGCAAGGAATTACTCGATCACTCGCTAGCATGACTCGAAAGATCATTCCAAATAGATTATGAACACAGATGTTCGATCTCTAGAGATTTAATGTCCAGCTTGTAAGTGATGAGCTATTTCAAGAAATGCTGAGACTCTGCCCATATAACTTATAAGTATTATGTGTCTTTGAAATAGCTTGGACCTTGTGATAAAACCTAAAAGTCCAAAGTTTAAATGTATTCATGCATGAAATAATTCAAAAAGAAGCTGGAAAAGCAGACACAGTAATGAAAGCAGGTTGAAGCTGTTATGATGCGTTTCTCTTTCACTCTCCTGCCTGTAATTTGTCAGAATATAATTGGGTTCCACATAAATAATCTTTAGGGCTAGTAAGATGTAAATTATTTTGATAAGTTCGGCTAATTAAAGTCTTTGCCAATATGGTCAGAGCCTTATTGCAGATGCTAAGAATTATTGGTCAAGGTCACTATAGCCTAGCTAGACACAGTTGGACATTTTCTTACTTATGCTAAGCAATGAAGCATATGTATAGTACACTTATGTCAAATTTGAATTGGCAAATATTCAATTAATTGTATACATGGCCCAGGTCCAGAAGCTAGAGAAAGAGATGCAATTCCTACACATTAGGAAAAGCTAGAACCCAATAGATATTTATTATTTAGTGTCAGGGAGTGGGTTAAGAAAGGGTGCAATATAAAGCTCTAGGAGTTCTTGAATCAATTAAATTACCTTAATTTGGTCACAACCTTTGAGAAAAAGCTTTCAACAATTGTATCGCGCTTCGATGTATCACCTAACCAATTGTTCTTCTTTGCCATATCGACATTACTTAATTGATGATCACAAGATTTTCAAATGTTCATAGGCGTAACTATCTAATTTGCTTGTTGACACATTTAAATTGATTAGCGATGGGCACGGGGTAGAGCGGGGATTGAGACTACATTCCTCGTCCCCACCCCGTGAGAACATATATTGTACCTATTTTCTTGGTGCCAACCAATGTCCAAAACAACCTAGCTAGAGTTTGAATATAGATCAAAAACCTAATACGTTTCAAATAAAGATTTATTAAACGACATATCCCACAACGCGCAGATCCAGTTAAAATACTCTAAAAAAAGTCAAAGAGGCCAAATAATTTAAAAGTCACATTTTTCTCTTCTACAGGTATTAGTTGTATTAGTTAAAGTTTCCAGTTGAATATATTTCAAAACTGTTGCCATCGAAGAAATTTATTCTCTCGTCAAATTCAATCTTCACAAGCAAAATTGCGGGACATTAGCAGGAAAATCCTTTTCCCACAAAATTTTGGATAATGTAGTCAATAACGAATTTTTTTTATATGATAATATTACCATATATAGCTAATATTCTCCCAAAAACTCTTCAAAAGTAAGGATTAGTAGTATCTTGCAAGATAGAGATACGATACTCAAACATCATGAGTTCACATGGCAACAACTTAGAGAGTTGTATGGAAGATTATGTAATAATATTATTATATAGATATGGAAATAGATTGCTGAGGTGTAACTCATGTTGAGGTAAAAAACTGTCCATATTATTTTCTAGATAATACACATCACCCTTATATGTCTAACACATTTTAGATTATCTGATACCTTGAATTTTTTCATATTAATTGAGCTGTCAATTCATGTCGTTCCATCGTATTAGTATTGTTTAATTTTTTTCATCTTCCGACATTAATTAAAATTTTCAACGTAAGTATAAGTGATTTTTTTTAATTAGCCAAAACATATGAAATTTTTTGTCATAGAGCTATTCATCATGTCACGCCATGTCCAATTCGGGTCTCTTCAATAAATTTTGTTGTGTGTTACCCATGTTCTCGTGTTACATCAAGAATTGTCATCCTTGATACTAACTAATGTTGCAATGCTAATATGACATCAATCCTGCTCTCAAATTCATCTAACTGAAATATAGATGCCCTGTAAAGAGTTTCGATTCTCGTCAAATTATTGATCATGCCGACAACGTGGCCACGATACAGCAAAGCTCTTCCTAGTGCCGGGTCCATGCGAATTAGACAGAGGTGGCATAGGAAGCCAGGCTCGCAAGATATGACGGCTCGGATTCATCCCAATCCACTCTAAATACAAATAAGTTGTTCACCTTGTCCTATGACTTCAGCATATATGCAAGAATCCCAATTCCACTAAAAGAAAGTTTGGTCGGGATCAAACCGAATCTTCAGCTTCGACAATTCGGGCAATTGAACCAAACCAGTCACCAACAATGAAGGGGTCAAAGATCAAAAAGAAAAACACTCCCTGAGGTCACATAGTGACAAAGGTAAACCCCCGCGTTTTTTCACTGAAACTTAGGAGATCGCAACCAGACAATTTCAGGACCACAAAAGAAAGCCAACAGGAAGAGCTACAATTATTGCTGATGCTAAAGAGGAAACTGAGGGGAATCTTCTCAGCGACAACAGCTTCTGGTGTCTCTCTCCAGATCACGAGCTTGATTGGAGGGTGACCAAACCCTAATTCCACTGACAAAAGCTTGAGATGAGATGAGATCCAACTCTACCCAATGAGGATTTCCCCATCCTTTACTTTTGTTTCCTTGTATCTTCCCACATGAACGGTTCCTTTCGAGTGAGCACTTAATGGATCCTATCCTGCAATAATGCAACGTGGGGCTACTTGTCCCAGCTCATTAGGGTTCTCAGCAAGAAGCGTTAGTCTGACTTATACTGATATGGATGTTCGGTGATCACGTGATGATTAGTTATCTTAAGCTTCTCAACAACGATGTGATGCGATCTGTAACGGTTCGAAGGTGATAAGGGAAGAAAAAGAGAACATTGCACCTATGAAGTGCGTATGTCCTTGTGTTGTGATATTTTCCGTGACGACACTTCGAATAATTCCTCCATAGCAATCTGCGTACCATCCCTTTGTGACAACAAAAGTTCTTCCGCGATCTCTAACCAGAAATCCTAGTAAAAGATGTCGATTTAGCGACATCAGAGTGCATGGGCTTTGCTGGAAGAAAATTAACTTAGTCGGGTGGTGACGGGAGATTTCGAGCTTCGCTATGCCGCGCATAACCTCAAGGCCGAATGTTGCTTCTTTCACTCATTATGGGGAACTTAATGCGCGCTCCCAAGGCCAGACAAACATTTCTTTCACTTGTTTGTCATCTCGTTTTAACTTTCGACCGCATTTTCTACCACAGTCCTAAACTCAACCAAGACGCTTTGAAATAAGCATTGCTCACTAAACGCAACACCTATTTATATAGCTCTACAAATAAACCCTCATATCACAAAAGAAAATTTCATTGTAAATTAAGCTCTACCACCCCTCTCTCTCTCTCTCTCTCTCTCTCTCTCTCTCTCTCTCTCTCTCTCTCTCTCTCTCTCTCTGGGCATTTTCATCGCATTTTGGATAGCAATGTGATGGAATTACTTAAGTTGACGATAATATGTGGTGTAGGGACCGTAATTATCACAAAAAAGATGGAGAGATTAACACTGAACATTCTAAAAGCACGTGGGCCAAAAGTATAATATCTTGTAGCTACTGATCGTAGGGGAAGTTTTTGCTTGAACTTAGTCCATGGATTGAGTGCAATCACGGTCATTGATCTTGTGCGGTACAAGCAAAAAAATCGTTACCCCGGCCTCTATTCTTGCATTTCTATGACCAACCAACCCACAACCACCATGGTAGAGATTCGGAGAAGAAAAATAATTTAAAAGAGATACACAGATCCATTGAAATTTACCTGAATTGTATGCCGGCGAATTCAGCGCCGTGAGAATAATTCTGCAGAGCAATTAAGACTGAGAAATCCTGAATCGCCATGTCGTCCCACAGCTTTCTTGAGCTTCCGAGTCTGTAAAATCTCCACGATCGAGGACAGACGTAGTAGCTGAGGAAGTTCAAGAAAGCTGTGGAAAAGCATGGCAGGACTTGAACGTCTTCACCTTCACCCTCGACGATCTCGCACAGATAATAAGTATATACTTTGCTTTGCAACAAGCAGCTTCTTTCTTGCGCGCGCGCGTGTGTGTGTGAGAGAGAGAGAGAGAGAGAGAGTTTGGACCCCTCCATCGTGTGATGAAACAACTCGATTCCGGCTAATTTTATAGAGGGGGTAAGGGACGGCCATTATACAAAAATGAATGTTTTGTTGTCTGTCTTACTACATTAAGCCGAACTTCTTCGGATTTACACATTCACTGTCGGTAACCTTTTTATTTTTACTTATAGATTCGTGCTACCCGTATGTGTAATATCATGCGCCTAACAAAACAACTTTTTTCTGGTGTGACAAAGAGTTTCCTCTCTCCCTCTCTGTTTCTTTTGCCCGAATTCACCGGCAAAAAAACATCTCAGCTGCTGCTCGCCCCTCACCGTCATTGCCGCCGTTAGCCTAAGTGAGCCCATTTCCTGTTTTCTTTCAACCCTCACCCTTCGCTGCTGGCGCACGGCCCAATCGTGGCCGAGACTCTGGCCTGTAAAGGACTGTTATTCCTTATATAACATAGAGATTTCTGTATATCTTTCGCATCCATATAGAGAACTGTTATCCCTTTATGGTGGTGATGAGCAATATCCACAACGTGCAAAAACCTCAAAGATCGAACTCCAAGGATAAGCCAAAATAAAGTGTCCATCTTCTAGATACAATGACTCCACAATAGATCTGTTCATTTTGACCCAAGTACGATCGATGGAATAGTTATTGGTTCGATGGTGCTGCAGGACCTAGCATTAATTGGATCAAGAAATCTTGGCCAATCCCATCCATGACTTGAAAAATCTCAAAAACTTACATGTAAATCTATCAAGCTTAGTCGGCCCTTGACACCCCAATGATAATTCAAAAGGCTCAATAGCTCTCATTCTTATTATTACGTTTTCGTTTCCAAAGGGAGAAATAACATATTTGAAATGCCGTTTCATTTAAAACTCGAATCTTGAAATCCTTTCTCTCTTTACTTCACACCTCAAAAAACACAACTATTACAAAAGATAGACATTTTCATATCTCTTGACCCGAGAATAGATGGGAAGAGAAAAAGCTCCCCTTTTTCAGTGTACTTTCGACAAGATGTCCGATGAAAACAGGTTGGCACCTGCAGCTCAATGGAATGGAGCACGTGGCCACGATCCCACTGTATCGGGGGTTCAAATCCTTCCTTGCCCACAACTAGCCAAGAACACGATAAGTACCTTTCCAAAACCATAGAGCCACTTGCCCCTAGGTGTACCCCACCCCAAGCAGCAGATGAGGTCGGGCCCAACACGTCGTCGAGATCGTCGGGCAGGCCTATCGGTCCGGTGGGCTGACGCACGCCTCAGGCCCGCCGCCCATGCCCTCGCATGGGAATGAATAGATTGTTTTGCTCGATTCCGGTCCCCATGTGATGGTTTCATCTCATGTGATCGAGTGCAGCGATGAGATGCTTCGTGTTGAACTGAACGTATAGGTAATGTAGGATGACTTATGAAATCAACTTTATCACATCACTGGTCACGATCACATGATGTGCGGTGGTACGATTGCTGATCTGGTGGGTGGGCCTCGATGTGATGTTTGTACTCGCCAACCGTGGCCCACTTGCCCCATACGGGCCTGATGTTGTATAAAGTTGGAAGGCTCAGTGGACCCACTCTCAGGCCCACCTCGTTGCCAGCTGTCGCATCAATTTGTTTTTTCACCCTTTGGTCAGATTTTTCTTGTTCTTATTGGCACTCTTTGTAGCGATTTTCCTCAAGGTTTTGTTACTTATGGTCTTTTTGTACTTGGTCTGATCGAGATATTCTTTGGGCTACGAATCTAAAGTGCATTGATTTTTTTGGCTATGTACTGTTATGAGGTGCATCGTGCTGTGTCATGTGGTTTTACTTCATTTTTTTGGACTCCTTCCTGTTAGGAACCGTACCATTTTAATCGTTCAAACCCATCGAGCTTGCTATAAGTTCGAGCCCATATGATCAACATATTCGATTGCAATGCGAGAATTACTGCCACTGGTTTCATATGATAGAGTGTCCGTATAAAATCTGTCTTTTCACTAAAAGCTAAAGACGTGAGAAGCGAACAAAAATTTACTGAATCGACACGCCAACTCCAAAAAAACAATCAGGTCAGTTAGATATTTAGCCCCCACCTCCCATTGAGGACTAGCTCTTATGGCCCAGAGACTGCCCTTAGCACGATACATGTTCATGCATGACAAATTGGACATAAAGTCCTAAAAAGATAGCTTGGAGCTATCTTGTCCAAAACCCTAGCATGACCATTGCATTTCCTAATATTTGGAAAAATCGCAGGGTGCTGCTTGGGGTAACTTAAAAACTTTCAGACCCAAAATATTATTTTAAGGCTTCATTTATTTCGCGAAAAATAAAAAAATTGAAAAATATGTTCACAAATATAATTGCTTACATCACTAAAAATAATTAATCAATGAAAATTATTTTCATTGCCGACAATAATTTATGACTACTAAACATTTTCATAGACGTTGAATATATTTTCCGTTCATTCAGTTTTGTAGGCGATTCCAAATATCGTTGTTAGGATTATTCATTTTTCGCAAACCAAACGTTGTCTCCTGAGCCAATAGACCCACCAATTGAAACCGACCCTAGCAATCCAAACTCCAAAACCCTTGAAAGCTTCAAAATCACATCATCTCGTGATCCATATTTACCCATACACACCAATATAATTAGCAAATGAAAGATATTTTCATTATCGATAACAACTTATATTTAAATATTGATATTTTTTGTTCATTTATTTTTTGTAAACGATATGAACGATCATTTTTTAGGAAAATATTTTTAAATTTATTTTACTCAAAACAAACGGGATCTGAGTTTCATATCCACGACGAGGGTTTTAGACATCAGATGTCCGAATTCGAGTATCATGCATCTGGTGAAAAGGATCCAAAAGAAGAGGGATTGGATTCGATGGCTCGGAGAACGGTGAGGCTGCTGCTGACAGGAGGTGATGTTGGACCAATTATTGGGGAAAAATAATTGGTGGTTGTCTCCGTCAGTGAAAGCGAGAGGTGCTGCTCAGTTTCCGCCGGCGTAATTTCAGCTTCCGCCACTTCCCCACTGCATGCCCTGAACCCTGCAAGCCCGTGGATTGACCCACCTTCCATGGAGGACCCGGTGCAGCACGAAATTTGCAGAACCCTAGAGGTGTCGTTTCCTTTCTTTTCTTTTCTTTTCGCGAGTTAGAAAGGCGGAGTGGGGGCAGGCGAGCGGGAGCGGCCCCCCTCCGAAGGTAGATGGCAAGCCGCGTGATTGCTACCGAAGTTGTTCACAAACCGGAACATCTTCGAATTGTTGTGTTTATAGCTCCGTGCGGCTGCCGTGCAATTAGTGGTTTAGGATCCTTCGTGTGGTGATTGAATGGTTGATTGTAACTGCCTTCGGGTCGAAATCAGCGGCGGCAAACTCGTAAATACCGATGAAATGTAGTCGGAAATCGAATCGAAGTGAAGCGTCTCGCACTTGTACTCTGAAAGTACAACAGAGATGCTGCCAAAATCAAATGCATGAGGTCTTTCACTGACCTAAAAGTACAGAGGGTCAAGGCACAATTTACTCTTGGACGTAGATGTGAGCGGTTTTAGGATCGGTCCAAATTTTACTCAGAACTTAAAATCTACCAATCGATATCGATTCTCCAATTTTTTAAATTTGAAACTTACCTGCAGACCTGGAAACTTGAAACTATACCCACCCTTACTTAGATGCATATTCATCAACCTGGAATTCACTATTAGTGCAAAAGCCTTGCATCTATTCAATGAAACAAAAGCTTCTATGCAGAACAAACTTCATTGCTCAACTACTTTTCTCATTGCACAAAGAAGCCTTACACTTATAGCATTAGTTGCTGGTTTTCTCATCATTCGGATCGAAGCTAATCTTGTAGAGAAGTAAAGTCATTTCCATCGTTGAAGACATCTTTCATAGCTAAATTCTTCGTCGAAAGCTTTCTCTGTCGACATGATTCCGTCGTTTCGTGCTTAGAAATATAGAAAATCAAAACTAGCTAGAAGCGGGCCAGTCCCCGAGTGGTGGAATCAAATTGATTTGGACTTTCAAACAGTGGACTCATATTTCAATCAGGGGGGTCATGGAAAGAAAGTGTTCAAAATTACGATCGATTTCTGTTTTCAAATCCTGTTCCAACTATAGGAGTTCATCCGTCGTGCCATCAAAGCTCTATTTGTTTCGCAGGAAATGAATGATTTAAAAAACACTTTTCTCGAAAACGATCATTTGTATCCCTTGAAATTAATAGTCAATAGAAAATGTTTCTATTATTGTCAATAATTTATGTCTAAATATCTTTGTATTTGTAAGTTATATAAGCGATTGTTTTAATTCCTTTTATGTAAAATAAATAGGTTTCAAAATGAAGCATGATAAATATGTATTTTTCGTTTTTCAATTTTGGGGTGAATTCTCTAAAAAACCCCAAGCTTTAGGTTTAGTTCCAAATTTGCCCCAAACTTTTTTTTTATCTCAGAAAAAATCTCAAACTTTAAGTCTAGTCTCAAATCTGCCTCGAACTTTTTTTTGTCCTAGAAAAAACCCCAAACTTTAAGTTCAATCCCAAATCTACCCCGAATTTTGTTTTGTGTAAAAAAATCAGCAAATTTCAATTTATTTTAAAAAATATACCCCCGTGATCATATCCCAACTTGACGTGCACTTCCACGTCTATAACAAATCCACATCAACAAAGTAATGGGCGACAAGTACATACCGATGTTGCATTTCCACTTGGATAACAAATCCAACCCAATTAAAATTGTTGAAATTCTATAAAATAAAAATATTGTAAAATATGAAAGTTAGGGACAATAACAAATCTATCCAAAAAAAATTATTTTAAAAAAACCTAATCTTTTGGTTCAGTCCAAATTTGCTTCGAACTTTTCTTTGTCTAAAAAAAAGCCCTATTACTTTGTTGATATGGATTTGTTATCGATGTAGAAGTGCCACGTCAAGTTGAGACTGGATCGCGGGGTATATTTTTGAAATAAATT